AACAATCCTTTGTGCCACCTCTCCAGGTGCTCTGAGAGCAGATTTTGATGCATGGGAAAGAAAATATCTGACAAGTGCTTCCCTCTCTACCCCCATCAGAAATTTCTGTTGGATCGAACAGCATTCAGACGCTGGAGGGATGCCAAATGGGTATCACTTTCATGTAGCTATCAAATTATTTTCTCAGTTAATGTGTTTCTCTTGGCCTTGTTTTATTATTTTTATTTTTGTTCTGGTTTGTAACCCAATTTGGGGACTTTTAAAGTAACAGAACAGGATGCATCATTTCACATACACACAACACAGAGTGTTGAAAACTGGCAGAATCAGAATGAAAGAAAAAATCTCCTCACAACTGCAGAAGCCATAATTTGAAAGTTTTAAACCTCTCTTTGTCTTAACAGGGGTAGTATAAGATTTCAGCTGAGGCAACTTTTTAATTTGAAAGTTCCCAGGAGAATTTGATCACCACTGAAGATGGATTCAAATTTCAAATAACACGTGAAATCTGATCTCTCTGGTGACCCACTTGAAATCTGTTTAAGAACACACCTGTGCTTATTTGTTACCAAAAGCCTACTAGGTTGAACAAAGCTGATGATAAAATAATTTTTCACAAACTATGGGTGAATGTTGTGTAAAGTAAACAATTTATAGCTGGAAATAAGCTTGGTAAAAGACATTTCTAACTATCTTAATATTATAACCAAACAATTACATATTTGTTACACATAGAAATAAAAGCTACAGAGAATATGAAATATATTAGGCTTTATAGCTGAATAGTGTTAATACTGTGGGATCAAAACACAGGACACAAATGCAGAATAATCAAGGCAATACAATTCTCACAATACAATAAATATTCAGTAAATCATAAAAAACAAAAAGAGAGTATAATTTCCTGTTATAATAATTAGAAAAATGGCTAAAAGAGTTTCTTAAACCATAACAGCAGAAGAAACTTTCTGACATATTCTACAGTTAATACAGGAGATTAACTGAAAATTAGTCCTTTTCCTGAGGCATTTTTCAACTTCAGTTGAATGGAACAGTGAATAGCTCTTAAAATAGCAAATTTCATACATACTGAATAACCTACATTAAATAACTAGTAAAAGGAAGTATCACCATAGCACCTTCTGACTATTCAAAGTGATTTTTATATATATTTTTAGTATTGCATAATACAAAGGGCTCTCAGTCATACAGAGTATTCTTAGAAAATAAAACTGGCAAGAAATTGTTGCGCAGTGTTTTATTTAAAACCATGCCCACTGCCCAGGAAAAAAAAGAGAGACAAAAGCTGGAATATTATGGAGTGCCCAGAGAGTACGTTAAAGATGATGGCAGAAAGTCCCCAGTTTGCCTTCTGATAAATGAATATTCAGCTAAACTCATCATGGCAATTTTCCAGGGGTTACCAGTTTGTGAGAGTGCCCACAACATGCTACTAAAATTTCATAAGTATCCACCAACCCACAACAATTGGGAATTAACATTTATTTCTCTATTACAAGACCCATATATTCAAGACAGCTGGAGGTTTGGCATCATGTTTTGCCAATAATATAAAGACTATATTTAGCTACAAACAAATGTGCTTTTAATTGCTAAGTCTGTTAGAGATTTCAACAGATATTGGAGAATATGCTGGAGACTTGTGAATGACGTGAATAGATGCTGAAGAATATGCTAGACTTAAATCAACCCTTTTTCTGAATTATTTCACTTAATCTGTCCTATGAGAGGGCAGTATAAAAAGGTGAAAAGCAAAACATAAATTGAATTAACTTTATTAAAATTAATACCCTATTCAAACATGAAAGCTTTATGGAGTGCATTCTAGTTGTGAAAGAAAGTTTGTGAACTCTTTAGTGAATAAAGGAATGACACAGGACACTATTTTAGGTGTTGTTTGTTCAACCAAAACTTATTTAACTCACAAACTTTCTGTTACCACGGTAAGTAGTACAGAGCTTATTCTTTCATATGTATTGAATAATCAGCAATAAGAATTAGAAGGCCCTGGAATGCTTGCACTCCCAGATCCACCACTTGCCCCACTACCATGCAAACGACATTACCAAGTTTGTAGCAATGTACCCTACTTACAGATCCTCTGAGAAACAGTACTGGAACACCCATGCCAAATCTCTCCTTTAAAGCACATATTGCAGACATCAGTTTGTATGCTTGTGGACCAAAGTCTTCAAAACTGTCTTGTGTGTCAACTACAGGAGCATAGTGAATGTTCCTAGAAGTACACCAAAATGCATACATTGTTCATAACTGGTATCAAAATGTTTTTGCGTGGAATTTCTCTCTCTTTTACATGTACACACAGTCACATCATTAGCATTACAAACTAGCGTGATCGAGAAAAGAAACCTGGAAAAGGCTTATTTTCTAACAATTGGAGTCACCAAGACAAACTAGTCTTCATCCTGTTTATGCTTGTTCTTGACACAACACTATCTGTAAAATGTGCTCTGCTCCCAGCAGTCCAAAACATTTGGATCAGTAGCTTTTGTACAGGGGAACAATAATAGCAGTCTTCCAATCATCAAGCAAGGATGCAGTCTTCACACATACTTTAAACAAGATACAGAACCAATCCATAAACAAATTATGTCCATATTTTAACCACTCTCTAGTAAAGCCATCTATACCTGCAACCTTGCCTTTTTTCCGATATTCTCACAGTACTGTGACTTCCTTTTATCATTTTTCTTGGACATTAATACATTTGTTTCAATTTCATTCTTTGATGTATTATTATCATTCCCATACAAACCTCTAAAATTTCCAACATTCTCTCATTTCCCTTTCCTCATTAAGAATTTCATTACTTTATTTTCTATTTTTAAGTTTAACTGTTAAACTTTATTTGATTTGCAGTCAAACACCAAAACACACATTCAGAATGTCTCAACACCTTTGTATCCCTCCCTAATTCTCTTAAGTAGACGTTTTTCTGAGCAAGCACCATTCACATTTGTTTTGAGTCTCCAAATGGCCCAATCACTTTTTCTTTACTCTCATCTCATTCCCACCCATCCACTCATGTCATCTAATAGAACATTTCCTCCTGCCCCACAATTGCATTGATGCAGAATGTTGCCCAGTGTTTTCCAAACCAATCTCTAGTTTTTCCATTAGCATTACTCACTGGAACATAACATGTAACTCTCTCCAGCTGAGGGAATCCTATTTGCACACATATCCGCTACAGTTTAGATGATACCCATTTATATTTTCACATACATTTTAGCCCTTTCATTCACAATCAAGCCTAACCACTTCCCTGCATATATCCATCAGTTCCCTCCACAAGACCAAACTATCTTCATTAAGGTCTACTACATATGTCTCAAAGACATATTATACACGCACATGCGCGTGCACACACACACTCACAATTTATTTATTCCATTAATTTATATTTTTTATAGGTTACTCTCTTATATTTCAAGTTACAATCTTACATATGCCATCATTTTCAATCAACACTAATCTGTATCACCTCTTATGGCTTTGGTTAATTAAGGCTTCCATAACATTTCTTACCAATATGGTGTAGAGGAGTATGGATATGGCTTTGAAGAAAATATGTGGCAACCACTGAGAAAACATGAACTTAACTAGGAAAACAGGGAGATGTGAGAAAGAAACTCAGAATTACCCTGCTATGAGTCTCCTTGATATAAGAGGCAGGAAAGGAGAAACACTCCCTTCAGGCTTTCAGGCTTTCAAAATTCTGTTAATATAGCCCATACCAATAAAGTAAATTATAGTATTTCTTGTGGTATTTGTTTCCTGACCTGGACTACCTTGAAGGGCTGACATATAGAGAAGGCAGACTTGTGCCCATGATACCTGCAGCATTTCCTGCAAATACTATGGACAGTACCAATCAGTTATAGCACACTTTGGCCAGTATGTTACAAGTACAACCTCAAACATATTCACCCTATTCTATACAACTACAATCAGTAATCTAAAGAATACCTTGCATGCCAACACATTGTTGTCCATACCCACAAAACCTGGAAGTCCATACAGTGTACTGACATGACTCAAAATACTACTATGCAGTCAACTGACACATCCGTTTTAGCCATAAGTTACACTTCCTATCCCCCACAGGAATGTACTATTCACTCCGATGGGAAAAAAGTTAAAATGTGAAACCATTGAGCTGGCTTCTCTTTTTCCTGAAACATCTGGCTTGGTTTCCACTAACTAGAAGTCTCTGGTGGGGCTATAATTTGTCTCTAGCTGTGTCCCAGAAATACACTAAACTCCTTTTTTCTCCCCCTCACTCGATCCATCATAAAGAGAGAATGAGGGAAATCAAGCCCAAAATATGACTTATTGATGTGATAGTGATAACCACACAGTATCACATCACTATTCTAATCTAGCAAAGGGCAAACAGTCTGACTGTATTCTCTATCACATCTTTCATACCATTTGAAATTCACTATCACATTCTGATTTAAATAATCTAGAAGAGGGAAATCATGGCAGTATTGTACTTTTGCCCAGAATCAGTAATGGACTGTATGAAAGCCAACACATTTGAATTTATCTAGATAAGACAGAGTTTCTCTGATATTCTTTCATCCTCAGGTGGGGTGACATCTTCCCTCAAACAGGCTGAAGATTAGTAATGCCCTGTTTGTGGATACTCAGCTGTCTTCCAAGCACAAAGCTTGTTCAGCCAGCCAATCTTCCTATAGGAAAAAACCTGGCCACAATTAACTATGCTCTGATAACTTCCAAACAAAACTGTATGAATGTACTGTATTTCAAGTTGACTTTGAAGACTGTATAAGAGCTTGATTATTGCCTGCGATAGAATAAATGGAGCATAGTACACCATTTTTAAAAGGACTACCCCAATTCCTGGACTTCTTCTTGGATTGTATCAAAATTACACTGGGCCAGGTATCTTGGTAAGCATTTCTCACACATCACTTAAGAAAATGATGCAGGAAGAATTGTTACTGAGATACCTAGTCAAAGTAATTGGATCTACCTCAAAGATCCTTATTCAGGTCCTTTTGCCATCAGATATTATGATGATAAATCAGAAATTTGTGTTGTGCGGTGTAAAAGTGTACTTCTTTCATTTGAGTAGGTTTTTTTAATTTGAACCACTAATTAATTTACTGGATAATTCAGTCATGCCAGGAGAAATAAACTAATCTCTCTATATAATTTCTTTACTTCTAGCAATTAGTTATCATTTATCTGATTATAGACTACCTTTCTATAAAAATCAGATCCATAACAGTATAATAAAGATACAAAATAAGATTACACAATGCATTTAAAGACACAGAGATGAAATAAAAACATCACATGTAAAATACAGAGAGGGATTATCATCAGTTTAGAAACAATTCACAAGCTCTGATTGAAGAGGAATAAGTTGATTCCTTTTCTAAAAATGAAAAAAAAAATAAAAAGCAATAAAAATGTATTTTAAAAAATGGAAAAACAACAGGGACCAATGGGAACTGCCAAAAGAACACGTTCCATAATTTGGGAATGTATGCCAAACAAGAAACTGAAAGCAGAGAAGTCTTTTAAAAGGTGTCCTGAATATTTTAATGTATAAACAGGATCAGAGTAACAGATGATCTCTCAAACAGTCAAGCCTGAAGCATTCAGGGCTGTAAATATTAAAATACCTTAAATGATGCCCAGTTCCCAACAACTGGAAATCAGTATAGATCTTTCAATACAGGCAGGATATGGACCCAGTGATTCTGCATTGCTTGAATGTCCACCTGCTTCATTTTGTACTAATGAAAGCATCTGGACACTTTTCAGAGGTAACCTCAATGAACACAATGCAATAATCTAATTGTGATGTTACCCATGCATGGATTGATGGTTGCCAGATCTGACTGGCTTAACTGTCACCTTGAGGCAGCCTTACAAACTTTTAGCATGTCTTCCCTCCTGTCCCCTGCACTTCAGCTGCATTTTCCCCAAACTAGGAAATCCAAGCACTTTAGCTTGTATGAAACAGGGTAGGTGGTCCAGCATCAGATAAGATAACAGCAACATGGGTTCAAAAATTTTCATATCTAAGGTCCGTAAATAACGCCCAGGTCACTATGACTTATCTTAACCCACCTCACAGACTTATTGTGAGAATATCTATGTATGGCACCTTAACTCTTTAGATTATAAATGTAAAATAGTAATAGTAAAAATAAAATAAAATAAAATTATATTCTATGAGTTAGCCTTTGACAGTGAATGACTGAATGGCATACCACACACTGATATATTCTTTATCTTAAAAGTAACGATGTTTTAAGAATACTTCATTAACAGAGAGCCATTATCCCTTTTATCTGTTGAGGGAAAATGTTCTGAATCTTAAATCTTTTGGGTGCAACATTTACCTTGATCTGCAATTATCACAACATTTTTCTGTTCCCATGATGCCTGACGATGCCTTTCGGAGTTGTTTGTCTTCAAAATGAGACAAGATGATTCTACCCAAGGGAACATTGGGAATTAAATAAAAGAACAAGAATGTACATGTTAAATTCATTGAAGAAAACAATGAGCTGAAATCATCATCATTAATTAATTCACATAGGAGCTAATTATTTGTTCTTGAATCATCCTGAGACAGACATATTTTTTTCAAAGTGTGAAACTGATGGTGCAAGCACAAAACTCCGCTAGAACCCTTCTGTGACTTTTCAAAACTTCACTTAGTTTTACTGAGAGATCCTGTTTGTCACTTGCTAAAATATACAACAATACTTACTTTCGCCTGCAGCTGTTTAAGCTGAGATATTTCTCAATCTTGGCCATCATCTTCAGTTTGTACAGGCGAAAGGTATCATCACGTATCTCACTGATCAGGTGTCTTAAAAAGGAAAAGAATGGAAAACCTGAAATACTGATAATTCGTTTGGTTCCTTCTGCCCCCTTGCAAAAAATATAAATATATAGCAGGAAATAAATAAAAATGTATGGTGTTATATCACACCAATCATCAATTTGCCACGGATATGTATGTAGCAAGTTTTGCTACATATATAACTAATAAATATTGCCATTACCATTAGCAGGGAACACTGCATGCAGCTTGGATACAACTAAGCCTGGTAACCAATTTACATTTTTCTATATTACTAAAAGGTGTTATATGAACGCCTTGATTAACCAAGGTCATGAATCAATATTTATAGGCCCATCTAATGGTGACCATGGTCTATGGAAGTTTGTGACTTGAAACAAGAGAGCAGTAAATGGTAAAGAGCATGAATTAACAAATGAAATGAAGGAAAGGAAAACAGATTATGTTGTATGTTTGTGAAACTAAGAGAACGGGGAAGGCATAGAGCTATATGATGATTTTCTGATTTTGAGGAGTAGAATGGCTGAATATAGACAGGGAAGTATGCATTTTTCTAGGCCCTGAACCAGGCTTAGGGTGACCCCATCTAATAAATAAAGGTGTAGCCTTAAATATTATTCTATTAAGTGACATAAATGGACTAAAACATGACAAGTGTGTATAGAATAACTGAGTGGGTCATTAGAATAATGGCAGTTTATTTTAAACATATATTTTAAACATAAGTCCATTCATGGCATATTCTTCCCCTTTCATGGCAAAGGAATAAATATAAATCTAAAAGCATGATTAATATGATTGTTTATGATTAAGATAATTGGTAAAGGATAAAAAGATGACAGGCTGTCAACAGACATTTTTTTCATAGTGTCAAGAACAGATTTTGGGGGGAAAAGGACATGGAAGAAAAGGAAAGAAAAAAAAGCAGAATAATTGCAGAATGAATCTTGTATGAAAAAGTATGACAAGACAGATTGGAATGAACAGAAAGAAAATGGAAACTGCTTGAATCAGAGAGAAAGGATTTACATTATGAATGCCACAGGAATGTGGGGAGTTATGTTAATGAGGTATGAAACACAACACTTGGTAGAAAAAGTAAGTCTCTGGATGAGAAAAATACATTAAGATAACATTGCAAAAATGATGAAATAAAGATATTGTACAATGTATTAAGAAACAAATATACATTTGCACAGAATATAGTCAAAGACAACGAAATTAAGGCTAAAAAAGAAAGAGGAAATGCAGAGTGACTTCTACTGAAATAAAAAGCATTTGGAAGTGGGTGAAAGAACTGAAAAAGGAGTCTCCAACAAAGTGAATGGAATTAAGAATTAAAGTTATAAAATGATCTGGGATAAAAATGAAATAGGAGCACACTCAGAAAAATATGTTAGTGATTTTTATGGGAATGACTGTGATATGTCAAGTAGTAGAATTCAGATGATTACTAAAATCTTAGTGTCAAGAAAAAAATTATGAAATCAAGTCACAAAATATATGAGAATGCTAAAAAATGGAAAAGGCTGTAGGTATAGATAGTATAATTGGAGAAATGTGAAGATGCTGTTTGTTTATGGAGAAACTGTGAAACTTATGAATGAAGAGTGCATTTTTGCCTGACAATTGAAAGAATGTCATTACTGTTTCGCTATCAAAGAGAAAAGAAGCAAGAGTGAAAAACTACAGGGACATTAAATGTCCCCAAGAGGACGTTTGACAGAATTCTGACTGAAAATGTTCAAGAGATGACAATGAGCGAAATTAGCACAGTGTAGCTTTATTATGAGCAAGAGACATAAACAGATTTTTTTCTGAAAATGCAGAATGTGAAAAGAAAATTTATTGTTCATTTGTTGATTTAGAAAAGTCATAAAGTTTGAATTGTGGAATATTTGCACAATTATGAAGCTCACAGTTGGTTGCTTAATGTGATAAGATCAATGTATGATGGGAGTAAAGAATGTCTACAAAGAATGCTTACTAAACAGTCCAGCACTGAAGAGTGACTAAGACAAAGATGTGTGGTGTCCCCTTGGTAGTTTAATGTATTAATGGATAAAAATACAAGGAATGTCTGTGATGATGGTAGAGAGGTACCAGTTGTGGATGTGAATTTATGTGTACTTCTATATACAGATGTGCTGTTAGCTGAGATCCTGAATGATTTGCAACACATGTTAGACTGTAATATCCAACAAGGCACATGGGCCTGAAAACTGATGTATTAACAACACAGAAAAAATAGAGTGAATGACTGCAAGTTATACATGAATGGTGAAAAACAAGAAGCAGCTGAATTTGGTACAAAGTTTGTTAAAGATGGCAAATTGATACAGACATTGTAAGACATGTGCAATGTCTTACAACGTATATGTTCATGTACATTATAAGACATGCAAATATTGGTAAAAGGTAGTGAGTAGTATATGGTCCATTGTAAAAAAAAATGATTTTTTAAAAAAATGAAGAAAAAATGGCTCCAATAGAAGAAAACTTATGTAGCTCAGGGTTGAACTGTGGAGGCCTTGGGGTTCTCTGAGCTTGGCTATCATAAAAGTGTGGTTCTTCTCTCTTTTATATGGAAGGCATATGGAGTATAAGTTGAATGCAGAGGCAGGGGTATTTAGAAAATGCAGACAGTAAAAGAAGTAATCAAGCCAAGGAGGAAAAGGTACTGAATGAAAGTTAATGACCATTATTAAAGAATTGGTTGAAGTGGTTTGGTCATGCAAAGAGAATAAAGAGCACTGAATAGCAAAAGAAATAAATGAAGAATAAATGGGCAGAGAGGAAGGAAAGAGTCCTGGTTGGATGAGCTTAATGAGATCTTCCAAAATGAAGAGGTGACGTTTAATTCCAACTTTTTCTGTAGGTTCCTGATCTTACACTTCTGTCTCAGTGGTGAAATATATATTAACCACTACTGGGGGCAGGATCCTGATTGAATCTTTACTGACATGGCCTAATACTAAACTAACAGAATTTCTGTAGTTGTTACATTTGGACTGCTAGTTATCAGTATATCTAAGCCATCTTTGGGTCTTTGTCTACCTTCCCTAGCTGCAGCATTTAGGGAATAAGCTGTAAATCCATTAAATACTAGAGCAGTTTGGGACCAGGGTTAGGGCTAGGGTTGCACCAAAATGATACCAAGCTTAGGTATAAAATTTATAAAGTTGTTATGTCCACAAAGTGATACGCTGCTAAATGTTTAAGACCTGGCTCTGCCAGCTCCACTGCCATTGCCAAGCTCCACTATTAGCTGATTGGCATGCTAGTTTCGTTAGGCTCACCTCTGCTATCAACTAGCTCAAAAGATTCTAGAAAATTTAACAATTGGCTCTCCCAAGCTGGTGTGACACAACTCCAGCACACCACTGTCTATACATTTTGACATTTGTCCTACCACATTCCAGCTAATTAAGGTAGCTACTGGTGGATCCCAAGGGCCCTAACACTTTGAAGGGGATCTTACATATGAGAAGGAATATAAAGGGCGGGTTCTGTTTTTCTTGGGGTCCTCTCTGATGAAATGCAGTCCACTTGTGATACACTATTTATGTGTAAATAGTGCATCGCTGTTTCTGTCCTTGTAATGTAGATCTTCTGGTTCATCCATAGGTTGCTTCTATGCCTGTGGCAATGATCCCATGTCTGAGGATCTCCTCCAATCAATTTCATAATGGGCGAGTTAATCCAATTCCATGGGTGACAACAGATGTATGGTAGTTTGGTTAGAAAAAGCTTACTGAACAAAAAAGCTTTTTTGGGAAAGCAAAAGTAGTTTTCAGAGAAAGGAATGGAAAGGTATACTGAAAGTTGTTGGTGTAAACTAAATTTAGCTATATGTCCTTTCTTTTTCTTATCTCATTTTTTACTTTTTTTGATTTAGGTTTTCTTACACATTTGCTGTGCTTTATATGTTGCCTGCCTCCCAAGAGAAGTGTGCATATTTATTTAGTTACTGAATTTATATGCTGCCAAGTCATTAAAAGAACCTATGGCAATTATTGTATGTATGTATTAAATTTTAAAAATGATAGAAAATGCTCATTCTTGCTTTCCACACTACACAGTCCTAATGCATGGGAAATGAATTATAGAATAAAGTTACAGTAACTCACAATTTGAATTTGCAGCCCTATTCTAAAATTCAAACATCGATGTAATAATAAACATGGCCAATCAACTTTTATATACAGGTAGTTCTCATTTAGTGGCCACAATTGGGACCAGCAACTCAGTCGTTAACTGAAATGGTTGCTAAGTGAAACTGCAACTATTCTTATGATCTTACTTCAGCTTTCCTTTGCTTTACAAACCTGCCAAGGTTGTAAATGTGAGGTTTTGATGTAAAGTTACTTTTTCATCACCATCGTAACTATAAATGGTCACTAAACAAGGCAGTCACTAAACAAGGACTATCTGTAAATGTTTCAAACGTTCAGCATGGTTTTATATCTATTATTTTAATATTTATATATACAAAGCAAGCCAGAATTACAGTTTACCTATTAAAATTCATATCAGCTGGAGTCCAAAATACATAGCAAGAGGCCGGAAGCCCATCACGACCAGCCCTTCCAATTTCCTGGTAGTATGATTCCATTTCCTTTGGGGCTCCATAATGTATAACTGTCCGAATGTCTGCTTTATTAATGCCCATTCCAAAGGCTATAGTAGCTACTACACACTGGAAAATAACCACAATCCTCAACATCAATGTTATATTCATTTCTCTACTAATGCATTTTTCAGTATTAATGTTTGAGCTGTATAAAGTATTTTTATATTATGGCTTGAACATATTCTGCCAAACTCAACTTAGAAGCACAATGTTTATCTAAACTGCAAGTCATTTATATTGTTTACTACATCTAACACATATATTAACAGGCCACTGCTCAGGGTAAGAATCCAAATTAAAGCACCCTAACACATCTTTAGCCTGTAAATAAACATCCAGTAATGGGAAATTCATCACTTTTCACAATAATTGGTCTCATTGTCAAAAAAGCTCTTGGAAAGTTAAGAAGTTTTTTTTTAATAGTCAACCAGAATCTGTCTTCCTGATCTGGGGAGAGAACCTCATTCATGTCTGCAAGAATCAAAACATAACCTGCAGTGTCAAGAAGTGATTTGGAAAAAAAATAATAAAATGTCTTATTTCTCCTTTTGAATAGGCTATTTGGTCCATTAATATTTGTTGAGAATACTTTAATTTGATCCATTATGTCAGTTATCAATTACATTTATGGGGAAAAACTGTTAAGCACCACTGTACATATACATACATACGTGTGTGCATATTTTATTTATTTATTTATTTATTTATTTATTTATTTACTTATTTATTTACT